TTGCATCGTTTTAGACAATAAAAATAAATACGACCTTTGGGGTGTCAGTGCCCCTTTAAGAAGATCATCTTTGCAGGTGCTTCACGGAAGATACTCGTTGTCGGAAGCTTGCTTTTTTTTATTTTTTTTTTGTGTAGGGAATTAGTTCTTTTAAGTCACGTCTAGTCAAGTCTTCGCAACATTGTGTGTGCGTTTTTTATCTTTTGTTTTGGTGTGGTCGAATAAATTCAGCTGTTCTTAAAATCTTGAGTTGTGTTGTCCGTTTTTCTATTCTTCATAGTCCTATGGCTTTAAGGTTTGACGACTCTCTACGCTCTGCAATAGAGTAGAACCGTTGTAGAAACTTTGGCGGTTCTATAGAATATCTCTTTGGCGCCAACGTCGTGCGACAAAGCCCCTATAACGAAGACAAGCTAGCTCAATTTTAGTGAAGGTTTGTTGTCGCTTTTCTCAATTGAAGGTCATATGCGACTCAATATTTCGCCATCACAAGTTAGTTCAAGTTACTGCAAGGAATTAAGGTGAGTTCTAAAAAAAATATTGACTTTTTTGATATATAGACGTGCACCTTTGCTACTTTTAGAGAAATTACTTGAGTTTTTGCATTGCTAACAGAACGACAATACTGGCTAGGCAATTATTTTACTAGATAACAGAAAGTATAAAACAGAGAGAGGACGAAACACAGACGAGTACATTCCCTAAGTCTGCGCAGGGGAACATACGTTCGCACCCCATGGAATAAACTTTGTTGAGAGTTGAAAGAATGTACTCGTCTGTGTTTCGTCCTCTCTCTGTTTTATACTTTCTGTTATCTAGTGCATCGTACCAACACGCTCGTTAGGAATACAATTATTTTATATGTTCGTAATCTGCGTTTTAAGACGCCCATTTTGATATCTTTAGTGACGTTTTCCATAAAGTTGTTTGTTGGAAAATAATTTGTGAAAATGTTTCTAAAACGTATTTTTTCGACGTACGTGTTTCGATCTTTTTTTTTCATAAAAATATGTAATCGCAATTTTTAATGGTGTGCATGTTGTAAATTGTCTATAAAATAAATCGCACCTGCTTTGGTGTGACATTGGCAGCTGTGCAAATTAGCATAGTGATACCTCGGCAATGTCCGCGCGTCGAGCTTCTTAATCTTGTATCTGAGAAAAATTAAGCTACAATGTTAACATATAACTGAATAATCCTCCCAAGCAGATGGCTTTCGCATATATTATTTACAGAAATATCAAAAATATGACCCGGACATTCCTTGTACGATCTGATGTGGAAACACCCGGCTATCGAAATGGGGTTATCAGTTATACGGATGTTCGATATTAGTTCGAATAGATTTCATGAAAATAAGGGGTGAGACCCGGCGGATAATAGATGAGGGGGTGACCGTCACGGTAAGTTGACCACTAAACCAAAATCTCTTCCCTTAACTTTTTTAATTATTGGTCGTTGGGGTCACGTTACAATAGTCGTATTGACGGCGATTATACTGTTAAAACTCAGACCAATATAAAAATACTGCAAAAAGGTAATCTTTTTGAAAATATTAATTAATCAATTTTCGCGTTTTTGTTTCCCGCGATTGAAGATTGCCCTAAAAAAAAAAAAAAGCGTCCTAGACCCTGTTTAGTGACGCTTGGAATCGGGAGATCGCCGTTTCTATCATGTCGTCACTACCTCGGCAACGTGTCCGGCTGGTGGTTGCGACGATGACACAAGTGACGATGTGACCTAAACGATTATGTCACTCTTCCAAGCGGCATTGTGGGCAGAACTTAATGAGCTCTTTTCGCGTGCAATTTTTAAACAGAACAAAAAAAAAACCCGAAAATTGATCGATTTTTATCTTGAAAACCATTACCTTCTCGCATTATTATTTTCAACCGGGCTGGCCTTTATAGTAATTTCTGTCAATACTGCAATTCTAGCATAACCTCTAAAACCAATCATTAAGAAGTTAATTAACAAATCTTAGCTAAAATCAGTCAATTTAGTACGACGATTATCTCCTCCTCTAATGTCCACCGAGGTTGATGAACACAGGATGAAGACGGCAGTCGTCTAACTTTCATCCCCCTTGTTAAAAATATATGTTCGAATTCAAAATTTCAACACCCAGTACATTACAATGCCAGTGTGTTATATGAAAGACTGTAAACCAATCGAGTAAAAAGTAGTCACCTTATTTTACGGCTCTAGCCGTTTCTGGCGAGGCTTCACAGCTGAGCCCGTGTGTGTTTTCGTGTTACATGTGTCGTATCCGGTAAGTTTAGCGGGAAGATTTATCCGATAAAGTTTGCGTAGAATCACATTGTCGTGACAATGTGACTACATGATGTCACGTGAAGTCACTATTTTCGCGCTAAACTCAGAGGGTGAATTTCTCCGCTAAATTTAGCTGGAATTTAGTGTCACGCGTGGCGTCATGGTACCAGGTAACGTCCCAGTGGAATGAGATGTCATGTTGTCAGGTGACATCACAGCGCCAAAGAAACACCGTTCGTTAAATGTGACGGTACATAAGTCGGCAAAACTTAAACACTGCAATATGTGCAAGCGTGTGCGGCGTTTCGGCTTTTACAAACAGTTCATTTGATGGACAAGAAAAGAAATCGACAACTCGTATTTTTTTCTTGTAATAAATATTGCATTACATCCGTAGAAAAAAAAAACCATGGCACAAAAACGGCAACAGGCAGAATGGGACGCACAGAACAAAATATCGAAAAATAGTTCATGCCGTTAAAACACAAAAAATTGGCAAATGTTAGCCATTCTATATACAAGGTAGCATCCACACGAAGGGCGAGTTAGTAGAAAGCGGTGTAAGAAAGTCTATAATAGCTAAAATATGAAAAAAACGCAAAATGCGTCGGGTCAAAAAGAAAAACAGCCTGTTTATGTGCCAATTAACCGACATGTGGGCTTGAAACACCGTTCAGTACGACTTTGAAATATGTAAGGTAGCCACAGTTTTTTACGCTGTAAAACGAACCGGAAAAATCGGCGTCTGCCAATCGTGAACTGAAACTTTCACCGAATGTGCGTCTAGGTAGGGATTTTAGCTTCTGAAATTTTAAGGGGTAGTCCTTTCCCGGTAAAAAAATGGGACCAAGAAACTTGCCCAAGCTAACGGCGTACGTGTTTGCAGACAACCGAGTTAGCGATGAATGTCACTTGTGGCGCCATCTCCCGATTGGCAAGGCTAGCATGCAACAGAGTGCGTCGTCCGCTTGCTGCTCCTATAGGGAGATGGCGCCATAAGTTAGATTCCTCGCTAACTCGGTCGCCTGCGCACGCGTTCGCCGTTGACTTTGGTGAGTTCGTTGTCTTATTTGTTTGCAGGAAGCGAACTACGTCTCGAAATTTCACTAGGTAAAATCCATCATCTAAATGCACATACGCTGTAAGATACAGCTTTTCTATGTGCAAAAGCCGATTTTGCCGGTTCTCTTTGCAGCGTAATGAACACTGTGACCAGCCTGTAAATGGCTTGCAGCGATGTCGCATCCCCGGCTATTGTGGTGGTCTTGCTGTTCAGCGCGTAGCTCTGAAAACATACCTTAAAGGCACCGGATTTTTTTTACGGTAATAACAAGTAGACATTTCCACCAGCATGATGCGATGATGTCATATGCAAGCCATACATAATACAAGCAGAAGCACACGGATATACCAAGTTGCCCTCAGTCGTCACCGTGTTACTGGCGTTAAAAGAAGCAATTCGTAATTCACACACTGGGCACCTACAATACTGCAACACTATGGGCTATGCACAATGCGCACAGGGACGGATAAGTACATGCATACTGAAAGTACATAGCACTATGATTAGTTCACCGCTAAGATGACAAAGGGGGGGTGGGGGGGGGGGGGGGCGTTGGAGTCAACTAACCGATCTATCGCCTGCCTCTCATCGCCTTAGCCAGCTCTCCGCGCGTGACTATCTGCGCAGGAAGCGTGGTCACGTGATGCCAGACCAACGTCTGAGAGGTGGACCGAGAATGTAGCTTCTACCTCCCTGTCAGCTGAGATGGTAACGATGTTTAGGGTGTCATACATCCTCCGTCTAGCTCTAAAATCAGACTGAATATCTTTGCCTGCACGTAGCTATTTCAGAAATTAAGTTAAGGTGTATATTAACGGTGCATATCGTGAAATTTCAAAACGCAACTCTCTTCCTGAAAAAAAATAAAATAAACGTGGCCAACAAAGTTTTTTGGGATCAATGGCGGAAGTGGATTGATGACGGCACAGGAACTAAAAGGCACAACAAGCAGACCGCCCGGTCGTCTGCTCTCTGTGCCCAATTTTCAACCCAATTTTAGAGCTTCGGCATTTCTAACACCCTCTATAGAGTCTGCTGCTGCGTAACGACTGCGTGAGAAGCTGCATTCCCCAGATTCCCAGCAAGGAATGACGTTACCAAGCCGCTTAGTACGAACGCACCGTTCTCCTTTTTGTATATGTGTGTGTATTCTTTTTTTTTTACGTCACGAAATGGGAAAAGCATTTGTTAGCACTCCCTGTTTCCTCATTGGCTCTCAAAAAAAACAAAGGCCCGCCCAATGCCCTTTGCCACATCAGGCACTGACGTTGTGCACTGCACTTGGCAGATCCTCTCCCGTATTACGTTGCAGCGTGCTATAATCCTTAGTAATCCGCGGTATATAAAATTTTAAAACACCCATTACTATATTACAGAGGTTGGCATATATATATATCAAAAATACGCATTGAAAAGTAGGCATTCAAAATGACTATAGTTAGTGGCGACGTAACGAACGCCGGGCGTGGCATCTTATGTTAATATGGCTCTTGCTTCGCGATTGTTCTTCCGCATTCTTATCCCGTAATGCAGCAATCTGATTGGCTACGGAACAATCATGAGATGCTCGGGGATGCTCCGCCACGCCCTGCGTTTCTTAAACTCTTGATGACGATAGACGGCATGATGTCTTGTTGTTCTTCTTCTTTATGCATCGTGTTGGCTACGTAGTTCGCTTCTCGACTTGAACGATCGCTTCCGTGCCCAGGCTGTTCAGCGTCCGTAGCTGAAGGTCTATGACGACCGTGAGGATCTGCAAGAATCATCCACGATCCCGTCAGTTAAAAAATTAGGCTTGGACGTAAAATTCAAGGATTAAATTCGCGAATTTACGGTGATACGCGTTCGCACGTAGACGATTATACGAGCGTCACACACTTCTGAAAGACTTCAGAGCTCGAGAGCACAGGAGGAGTCATTGCTCCACGTCAGAAATAGAGGCACGTCAATCATACGGACAGGTGATCAAATTGGCGTCAAATGTAGATAGGTAGGTACAACCACTCTGAATATGCTAAGACTGATTGGGTTCCTCATCACACATCCATACGTTTTTCTTTTTGTTTCTGTGTGTGTGGTTACTTTGGATTGTAAGGTACTTTTAGAGCTTTCCATCTGCCAATGTATCAAACAGCAACAGTAACGACAAATGTATAAGGGTCCTTCATATAAACGCAATTTCAAACATGAAGTGAGTTTGGATGGCTTACTTTCTTCATGGCGTCGTGTTTGATATTTTCCGCTCGCAGGAAGTTTCGGTTCAGGGAGACCCTGGTGGGAGGCTCGGGCGTGTCAAAGAACACCACGTTCTTGATGGTGGAGTTCTGGCGACCGCTGGAGCCAACGTGGCTCACGGAGATCCGAAGAAGGTCCTGCGGAAGCAACGGCGTGTGTCAAAACTGCCTCTCAACGCAGTGCGGGACCGCAAGCGTGCTTTCTGTTCTCCTGTATTGAAATCGTATAGCTTGTTTCAGATACATCAAACCACCAATGATACCAACCCAGCTTAACCTTTTTATTTACGTCGTACGCAAAGACTTGTATAACGATACTTTCGCGTAAGATTAGCGAGCGTGTGTGCGTTTGCAATCCATTTTTCACTCGGCTGAAAAGAAACGCTCCTTTTCTTCATAATGGTTGGGAACTAAACAAGCTTTTGGTTGAACGACTATTCAGACTGTTAACCTACCCACAAGTATTTTTGATTTCTTTCAGTCATTCCGTGCGGATACCTAGCAGTAGCATACGTCAACAGTTCTTTCGGGAACTTACCTGAGCCTGAACGAAGCTGTACAGGTCATACTGATTTGCCTCTATCGTTCCTAAAAGAAAACGAAAACAAATAAATTTGAGCGTCCACAAACTCTGAAAACCGTTTAAACATTTTAGAAACGAGCAACTGTTACCTTGAGAGATCCCGTCGTCCACGAAGAGTTCGCCGGACGCAAACCCATCTTTCGGGTACACGTGCAGATCAAACGGTATCTGCGACCTGGAAGCACGACAGCGTTAACAATAAACAAAAGCAAAGAAAAAAATCGCCGTGTTTAAATGACGCCCTTCTCATTTTAATTTAACACGAAAGTGCCTTGCGATGCACATCTCCTACAATTTTTGCACCAAAAGTATTTCCCACGCGTATTGTAAAAGGAATATATATGAACATGTATTATATTTTATTTTTTAATAGAACCACCACCCGTGTATAAATTATACAAGTATTATATAAGTTTATATATTATCCTATGTTATTGTATGTTGATAGAATACAATCGTGTAATTTTTATTTTTTCTATGGAAGTAAGTTAGGGTTGCATGCATAACGCCAGTCATACGCTAGACCAATTACATACAGGCATCTTCCGAAACGGGTTTGTTGTTTATACAGGATGTCACAAAAGAAAATTTGCACGGTCTTTTTTATCGCAAAAATAAACTAGGCATCGCCGAACGCTTATTCTCCACCCAAAAGTAGTGCTAGAGGTCACAACCAGATGCCAAAGTTTCAGCCCGATCCGATAACTTAATCAAAAGTTATAAGTGATTTTCTGAAAATTTCAATGGGAAAATGGCGGCCGACGGAGTTTTCGAACACATGGGGCTCTATGGCACCAGAAACCGAAAACGGCCAAAAGTGGGCTCCATTTTCCCTTTGAAATTTTTAGAAAATCACCTATAACTTTTAAATAAGATATCGGATCGGCCTGAAACTTTGGCATCTGGTTGTGACCTATAGCGCTGCTTTTTGGCGGAGAATGAGCGTTGGGCAATGCCTAGTTTATTTTTGCGGTAAAAATGACCGTGTAAAGTTTCTGTTGTGACACCCTGTATAGACGCTTTACACACGCGCCAAATTACAGCCGCCATTGCTGACCTTCTCTTGTCTTACGAGATGCCGAGCAACTGAAACGGTAGTTGACGATACTCTACAAAGGCTGATGCTTTAGGAAAGGACACAGTTGAATCTAATATGGCAATAACCTGGCCTGCTATGGTAATGATGAAGTGAAATAAACGGATTAAGAGGAAACAAAAACTGAAGGTCAGTTATGGCGGCGTCCGTGCACAGCTGCTGCAAAGCGTCTATATGCTGAGCGCAAGTTCGTCTGCTTCTTGCAGAGGGGTTGCGATGATGTCAGAAAGCCAAGCTTTTATTGGCTGATTAAAAAAAAAATAGTGGGTAGACCTTGAGGCATCTAGCATTGAGGTCTACTCACTATCCTTCCAATCAAAGCCAATCAGAGCGTGGCGTCGTTCTGACGTCACTGCAACTCCTGCGCAAGAAGCAGACGACTTGCTCTCCGTAGAGGTTTAGACAGCGGGAATGTTTGTCTGCTTTGCAATGGCGTCTTTGCTTCGTTTCACCTTACCAGGAACCGCGGCGGATGCCACGAGCCGTTCCAACCAATCAGGCGCTGGAAACGTATCACGTGACTGCTCACCCTGCGCGCCGCTGCGCGCAGGGCGAGCAGCGGCGCGCAGAAGGTCACGCGACATTTATGCGGCATCGTGATTGGCTTCGGCGACTCGCAGCGTCTGCTGCGCCCTATCGGAAGGTGAAACGGAGTGTATAGCGTCCCAACTGCAGATGGGCAATTCTGCCAGTCACTGACGGCTGGAAAACATGACTGGCAGGATAAGAACGTCACTGACAGAATGAGAACGTCACTGACAAGATGAGACCGTCACTGACGCAATGAGAAAGTCGCTGACAAAATTAGAACGTTACTGACACGGTGAAAACGTCACTGACAGGATGAGAGCGTCACTGACAGGATGAGAAAGTCACTGACAGGATAAGAAAGTCACTGACAGAATGAGAAAGTCGCTGACAGGATTATAACGTCACTGACAGGATGAGAGAGTCTCTGACAGAATGAGAAAGTCGCTGACAGGATTAGAACGTCACTGACAGGATGAGAACGTCACTGATAGGGTGAGGACGTCATTGGTCAGATGAAAACGGCAGGGAACTCCTCCAGCTGCACCGCCTCCAGCGCCAGCCTTCTTCCCTCGACGTTCCTTCGGCACCTCGTGGAGCGTGCACGTGCAGCCGAAGCACGGTGGACGGCGACGAGCGCGTGCTGGAATTCGGCCATTTCAAAGGGACGCCTCACCGTTTGCATCTTGTAAAGGACTATAGTGCGGCACAACCGCTAGGCTTGGGTTTGTTTCTCAGGTGCATCGCACAGTATCCTCTCACTTCCTTTATTTATTTGTCGTTGTTGTTGTTGTTGTTTTTTTGTTGTTGTTGTTGTTTTTTGTTTTTTTTTGTGTGCAGGAACGATTAGGATTACCTCTCGTGCGTGAGCCTGAGCGTGGGTTGCACTGGCACCACGTGACCCGCACGCACGTGGATGAGCACCGTCGTGTTGTCCATGACGTCCCGACTCATGGGGTCCACCGAGCCTTCGACCCTCCTTCCCTGCAAGGGTAACAAGACGTTCGTCCGAGGGCTCTAAGTTAGAATACTCGGCCAGAAAGTCGGCGATCGCCGACCGCTGCGATTGGCCAGCGTCACGCTTGATTTTTGAGCTTGTACCAATGGCGGCGCGATGCTGGTCGGCGGTCTCGCGGATAGTCGAACTTTAAGCTCCAAGAAGCGGCCACAGAGTCTCCGACAAGACAAACCATACTCCGTTTCAAACTAAGCTCTTAAAACAAAAACAAAAAAAAAAGCTTTGCGTTTACTTTTTTGCTGAACACGGAAACTGGCAATCGTGGCGAACGGATCTCACGTCAGATGGGAAAGATATGGTTAGACTAAAACAATGCGACTTGGGCAGGGACGATGCGCCAGTGTTTATTGTGTCATATACATGTTCACTGTTTAATGTTCATCGCGTTCATGTTCATTGTGTCAGTTATGTTCACTAGCCGCCTCGGTGGCTCCGAGGCAAAGCGCCGGCCTACGGATCCCCAGAGGGGGTGAGGGGTTCGAATCTCGGCTGAGCTGCCCGCAATCTGACGGAGGCTTATTGCGGAGAAAACGCCGTGTAACCGCGAGCTTTCGGTTGCACGTGAAAAGGTCTAGGGGTGGTCGAAATGAATCTCCAGTCCTCCGCTCGGCGTACCAGATGCCCGTCGTTGGTTTGGCACGTCATACTCATTGTTTCCGTGCACGTCGCATATTCTTGGTCTAATCGTATTACGATTTCTTCATTCGCTGTAATCCTTCTTGTTGTTCCCAGTGATTGGCTATCTCCGTGCTTTCAAAGTGTGCAAGCCAGAGCGCAGCCAACGCTATATACACGAGTTAATGGGCCCGGTGGAACAATGCTTTAAACCCGGCCACGCTGCTTGTGCCTTGTACAAACGTCGCGTAAACACTGTCTGTGGACGTGTTATATGAATGAAGCAAAGATGATTCCAACTTTCTCGATGCGTGTTTCTGCCGTCATTTAGATTTTTTTTCTTATGACGTACGAGCAGTAGGACTGCAGCTTCAAAAATGCTCGTCGTCTTTCTGTGCGAATGCTATCCTCGGCGAAACCGGACGCGAGCCGTGAATGATCTGCAAATTCGCACGTTTAGCCTGCGCGTCGAGCCTTTTGTGTGTCCTCGATCATCTTAGTATATACTACGCTCTGATTTTATACGTGTGAAACGAAGTATGGAATACGCGAACGTGACTTTCCTCTCCACGTCGACACATCTTGATGTCGAAAAGTAAAATGCTGTTGTCGTTGTTTTTTTTCGTTCGTTTTCTTCAGAGTGCTGAAGATACATGAGGATACAACTGACAAACAGAAGCGAATGGCGCGAACAAGTGGCGGAAGAATAGAGGGGCGTCCTGACAGGAGCCAGAAAGGGGACCGGAATCTCGCTCGAGGTTCGCGCATCTCCCGGCAGGGACACTGTAGGTTTCGGGTTAGCGCGTAGGCGTGGCTTGGAAAACGTGTGCGCGAAAAAGTGTGGTTCGTCGAGGTCCTGGTCCTATTGCGCATCTCCCGGCGTTTGCCAGAAATGCGAGCGAATCATGGACACACTTCTTCCCACGGCGAGGGGAAGCCGTTCAGATACACCTCTCTTCTTTCGTCCTGGGCAACTTTAATGTCAAATATTTTACAACAAAAACGTGATTGTTACCACTGATTTAGTGGTAAATAAAAAAAACCTGCGAGCACATAATAGCTGCGAGCTTTATTTTATTTAGGGTCTAGGGAACGTTATTACAGTACGGCCGGATCAACAAAACCCGCAATTCTTTTCATCCGTTCGAAAAATTAAATATATATATATATATATATAGAAATTACAACCCTGTCTATTCAATCCTTTTTGTTATGGTGGGGTCCCCACCACCAGAACAAAAAATAAGTACAGAACACAAACATGTCAAATGCATGGTGTTTGCAATCGTATACTCACTTCGGGATACACAAACCAGGTGTCAAGCGGAAGGTAGTACGTGTGTTTCGTCGCGTTCTGAAAGCAAGAAAACAAACAAAAAAAAAACATAATTATAGAATATATATCTTATTATATTTATTAATCCAAACTCATCCGAGTACAAGCAGGAATGTACATAAAAAAAGGCATCGAGAAAAATATTAGGAACAGCAATACAACGAGGGACAAAAAAAAAGACAACAATATGTCAGCTAGAAGAGATTAAGTTCATTACTTAATAAATATTTTAACAAAGGCGCAACTCTCAAATTTGCAATAAATCTATCGACTTATTTCCTATAAACGGTAATTGTTGTCAACTCATTCCACGCAGTTATTGATCTGGGTAAAAAATCGAATATTTAAATGTATAATTTTAGGTAAATAAAATCACCAGTAAACGGGACAACAAATGCGAGACAACGAAGCACTACTATCAACTGAAGTTTAATACTACGGTGATTGAGTGGATCTAGTAACCACCTAAACGCGACGTGCCTTTTCATCGGTGTCGTGGTGGCAGACGCGTCCCGCGCTCATTGACAGTAACTGATACAACAGGCGGTAATAGGTCTTTGTCCGGGGTCTCTAACGCCCATAAGTTGTAATAGCCGTCCGCCATTATTTTTTCTTTTAAGCTTGCGTAGTGGTATTGGCGCTCAGACACACCCAGGCTTCCAATTTCGCCACGTAAGTTTGTTCAACATTAGTTTGCACCAATAATACAAGTTCGCCGATAGATGGCGCTGAACAACTACAGAAAAGGCTCATTTTTGTTAATGGTGCTACGAAGTGCCCCCCACAATCGATCCTCGTATTTCGCCAATTGCCACTCTCTCGGGCGAACAATGGCGACTGTTTTGATGAATTTGCTCCAATCTTTAAAGACTATATAACCTGCATGGTCGTCTCCCCCCCCCCCCCCCCGGACAACACCTAATAACGACGCGCACTTGGCTGAGGCAAGTTTTACGCATTGTTCATACGCCGCACAAAATAGTTCTCACAAGATTGCTCTGTCGGAGGAAGACGCGATGCTTTTGGCGTTTGAAACGTGTAGGTCTTGGTAAGAACACAACAGATGAAACTATTAATGCTCCAAAAAAAAAAAACTCGACTATTCCTTCTTTTTTTTTTTTTTTTTTACTGCGGCTTTTGATGAGAAAACGAGTGTAGGTCGCTTTTTGATTGGCATGTCTCTCCTTGCGTTCTGATGCGCCAAAGACGGGTTTTTGAGCACTTGCTCCGCGTATAGAGCAACTCCACATCGCTGCTTGCACGCGCCTCCGCGTGATGGGTTTATAATTACGTCTGCAATTATTCATACGGCGTGCAAGCTTTGCGTATGCGCGAAGCCTAAATCAATGTATAAATCGGCGCATGGCAACAAGGGCTTTCTTTTTTTTTTTTTCACATGACTAACGTGACTTTTAACGAGGCCAGTTGCTCCGGATTTTGTGATGCCGTATTCCGTGAAGCCGTTCCCTGTGACGTCCCATAGTGCAGCGCGCCCAGTGTTGCATTATGGAACGTCACAGACCTACACACCAATTCAGCTTCTCCGCGAAATTTAGCGGGGAAGTTGAATTGGTGTATAGGTCACAAGACATGAGGTCCCGTGACGTAAATTTCCCCGCTAAATTTAGGGGCAAAATTAACGTCCCGTGACCTACACACCAATTCACTTTCCCTGCTAAATTTAGCGGAGAAATTGACATCGCGTGATTTGATGTCACGTGACCTATAAACGCGATTTAGTTTCTCCTTTCAATTTAGCGGGAAAATTAAGGTCACGTGACCTAAACAACAATTCAGTTTCCCCACGAAATTTAGTGGGGAAATTGACATCAAGTGACCTGATGTCACGTGATGCTAGAACGTTCCACGTATGCAATGCAATTGCCCAGCAATTCGTCATAGAATATTTTCCCGTACGCAAAGCTTTTCGGCAAGCCATTCACAAAACTCACTAATGGCTGCGTGCGATCGGCTGCCCCGTCATCGCGCGCTCCCCTGCGCGTTCTCTGTTTATTGACATAGCCTCCTATATACTGCCCAAGCCTGGCAGATCGCCCCGAGAAGCGGCCGCCGAAATGGAAAAGGTGGAGCGCAAGAGAACGAATGAGAGGAGAGCCACGTGACTGGCGCCCCGCTGCGGCGAGACGCCGAAACACACTTCTCCCAAGCGAACAAGTGTGTTTCGGGTCCTCGCCGCTGAAAAAGCTGTGCGCTGACGACCAGGTTCCCCGAGATATGGCTCTTTGATGCTCCGTGCTTCCAGATCCCCGCGCTCCAAATCTGCGACCGGGCACTATGGCTCCGTCGTCGAACTGCCAGGCTTTGTAAGTGAGGGGGCAATGGTATTGACCTCTAATCGGCGTACCCCGTACCGATGCGACAAAGACGCATTTTTGGAACACGTGCTGGCCGTATACGCACCTCCTCCAGGACTGGTGAAAAGAGAAGCACGGAGCCCCACATGAACTGGTCGTCGATATCGTACGTCGCCCTGTCCAGAGGGAACCTGAAGAGACCAACAGAATGGAAAGTGGTTTAATAGTCGGGACCAGCGCTAGTCTGGTTTGAGTATTACGAGATTCTGAATTGCCACTAGGGAGAACCGTCGAATGCATTTCTCAATAAAGCGTCTTGACATTGTACGCCGTCTTGTACAAGCAACGGCGACCGACACGCGTGACGAAGCACATTTTCGCGGGAAGAACATGGCGTCTGCCAGTTCGCTCTGCCGATATAGGTCGTTCCAATAATCGCCTTCTATGTGCTGTCACTTTTTTCCTACTGGTCTGTTGAAGTCGTTCTCGAGGATGTGTAGTAGCTATCTTCCGCGGAGTACGCTGCGCTTATGTCTACAAAACAACGATTCGTCATTTCTACCTTGAGCGGTTAGAGTTTGAGAGGTTCCTAATCCACCATCTTTCGAAACACGTTACGTCACGCCAGTCCACGGATTTTGTGAAGGAATTTTAGTTCGGAGCGTTATGATTTAGAAATACTTCCTCGAAAAAACGCGCAGTCATCGTCAAAGGTCACAGTTGAACATTGCAGGGGGGCTATGTTCGACATATTCTTCGTTTCTTCAAAAAGAAACGGAAGTGACGATATCGCGTGTGATTGGTTAGAGGCTGAAATGACGAAACAGGAAACTTTCGTCATTTGAGCCTCGAACCAGTCAGACACGAAATCGTCACTTCCGTTTCTTTTTAGGAGAAACGAAACATTTGTTGACCATAGCCGCCCAGGTCGCCTTACACATATTTACGTGAGAGAGACAATTCTGAATGAACCGAAGAACGGATGCCGGTAAAGGTATAGTCGGGAACAAAATGAGTGAAAACGACCCCGGAAACGAGCGAGAGCTACCGGAGGGACTGGTAACTGGTAGCAAGTAACTGGAAAAAGATAGCTGTGGACAGCGCATTCTCCTCCCAATGCTATATCTTTTTGCTAGTCCAACGTATCGCGTCATGGAAACACCGCCGGTATCTTTTGGACCTGCTCGGTCGTTTCAGTTTACTTTGACTACGCCTTACCAAGGAATAATGAACAAGGCAATGTCCAAGTTTCGTTTCTTTTCTTGGTCTTTTGTTGTTGTTGTTGTTTTTTTTTTCTTTTTATTGCACCCGTACTGTTCTTGAAACGATCCCGTACAACGTATTCGCGACTCCAGAGGAGGTGACTCTACCTAACGAAAACAACGTGAAGACGTGAAATGGGGAGCTACCGCCCATCCAGACCTGTAGCGAAAACTGGCGCAGCCTGGCGGCCGAATCGTGGAATAGAGAAAAAGGTGTTATATACTAGTTCTCCCCCGAAAACAAATTTAGTATTTTTTTTTCCTTTTTTTTTTTATCGCTAAAATAAACTATTGCATTGTCGAACGCTCAGTTTCCCCCTAAATGTGGCGCTAGCGGTTCGACCCCAGATGCCAAAAGTTTCCAGGGCGAATGCTTATCTTATCCAAAACGCATAGATAATTTTCTCAAATTTTCAATGTTAAAATGGTGTCCGACAAGTCCCACGAATACATGTGGCTCGATGGTGCAAACTGCCGAGAACGGGTCCGATTTTCCCATGGAAAGTTTCAAAAATTACTAACAGTTTTTGAATAAGTTAACGGTCACTTCTGAAAAGTTGGCATCTGGTTCGTACCACTAGTGCTTCATTTAAACGAGACTGACCGCTTTTTTTTTTTTTTTTTTTTGGGGGGGGGGGTGGGGGGGGAGGGAGACACACTGTACGCGAGGTCGGGTAGCAAATATAGAGAGCCAGAAATTAGCCCAAGGGCGTTTCCTCACTCGAAGAACAGAGGCCTCACAACGGCTCCCCCGTCCATGTGGGCCCTGAAGAACAGCGTGTACAGGAGCGCGAGGAAGTGGTAGCGGGTATGGACCGCGTTCAGGGCGATGGCATTCATCCTGTCTGCCTGGACCTGCACAAGGAGATGACACGGTGAAGATAATCTTAAATGAAAGTTATCCGCGAGTCCCAAAAGTGTGGCGTCCAGCGGCGGCCGTCTCCGAGTAGGTTCCTCCAAAGAGTTCATGCGGAGCGAAATTGAAGGAGAGGAGGAGAGGAGAGTACGGCGTTTTTTGTGGAGAGGGCGCGGTGACGCTAGATCGCCGAGCTCTGGTTGGAAGGTTAGTGGGTAGACGCAAGGGCCAACAGGGACTCTATCTTAACCAAGAAAGATGGCAGAACCTTGAACAACCATTTCGTACGAGAAATTAGTACTTGAATAGACTTTATAGATAAGAAAATAAACCGCGAAGTAGAAGAAGACATTTAAGGGTTGGTGCAGTGAACGTTTGCGCAGGACTGCACATATTTAAAAACAACGTTACTAGGTAGGCGAGCTGGTTGTTACTCGACATAGTGAAACTCACTGATCTCAATGACAACTGCTGGATCGCGCTTCCCCGCTTGTTCGCTGCAGCGCGAGTGAAGCCACCGGACTTCACTCGCTTGGGATACGATTTGCGGTTTTGCTAGCCTTTTGCTGCGGTTTTCCAGCGTGCTGTAGACACGTTTTCTCCTCGTTCGTCGTCATTCGCCCAAGAAGTTTTTTGAGACTCTGTGTATTGTTGAGACTTGCCGTTGACAACACGTGGAAATTTTTACGAAAGCGCAGTGTCATAGGAAAAAGGCACAACTCGTCGAAAGCAAGGGTCTGGCGGCGTGTTCAAAGCTTCCTCGGCACGCCAAAGTGCCGTGTCTCTGTGCTTTCGCACGCATGGATACCGACCAAGAACCAACGCCGTGTGAATGTGCTTTGCGAGTGCAATGTGTGTGAAGCTGTATGTGCCTCTGGATTAGCGTCTTACTTTACTCTGGCGTCTGTATACTTTCGGCCCTCGCGGTTTAGGAACGAGCTTAATCCAGCGTCCACTAGCGACGGAAGAGGGGGGGGGGGGAGGTACGTCTTTTTTTCGTCCTTAGACGATTTACACAATACCGTGCACAACAGCTCCACAGCACTGATTAGTGCTGGCTTATTATCAACCTACTTAATTTCACTTGACGTTTGAGCGCGGCTCGCCAAATTGTAATTGGTCAACAGATTGCACACGACCATATCGGCCGCGCTTCAAACTGATTTCCATTCTCGCTGTCTTGTACTTTTGCTTTCGAAAACCCTCCTTGCTCCACAGCGTTGCCCTATTCGTGCTCCCACGTAATCCATTAGAGTATATTTGGAACATAGCCATGGTTAATAGTACATAAGAACACGTACAGATCTCCCCCCTTTTATTGATAGCAACTCACCGGAACAGCTGGACGATCCAGAACTCCGTGGCCGATATATATATATATATATATATATATATATATATATATATGATCTAAAGGCATCTACGCGCGACAGACGTTCAGAACTTTGTTGCGGCGTCAATTCTTGACCGGTATCGAAGCGTGCGAAGGTACAAGGATGCAGCACTCGGCGTTCCAAGGAAGCTTTGATCACGCCGCGAGACTGGCGACACTTGTTTTCGACGAGTTCTACCTTTACATACGGCTTCACGCACATTGCACTCGCAAAACACATCCGCACGGCGTCGATTCTTGGTCGGTATCCAAGCGCGCGAAGGCACACAGACACGGCACTTCGGCGTGCCAAGGAGGCTTCGAACACGCCGCCAGACCCTTGCTTTCGACGAGTTGTGCCTTTTTCCTGCGACACTGCACTTTCGTAAAATTTTCCACGTGTTCAGAACGGCAAGTCTCAGCAATACACAGAGTCTCAAAAAACTTCTTCGGCGAATGACGACGAACGAGTAGAAAACGTGTTTACAGCACGCTGGAAAACCTCAGCAATACGCTGGCAAAACCGCAAATCGTATCTCAGTGAGGTTGCGTCCGGTGGCTTCACTTGCGGGAGCGGGAAGCGCGATCCAGCAATTGTCATTGAGATCAGTGGTGAAACTCGACACAGAGGTAAAAGAAAAAAACGGAGGACAAATACAACGTCTGATTTGAGACGTTGTATTTGCCCTCCTATTTTGCCTTCGTCTCAGGTTTTAAAACGCCGACTGCATATACGATTCTCCAGCATCAAGATTGAGGTGGTTTGCTGGTGATAAGTGGGAAAGTGTCCGGAGGACGCGTCGTGAAGACGACGCTCAAATATGGCATTTACATTTAATGATTACCGCCTATGAAACAATCGTAGCTAAGACGTCGCTTTTAGCGAGTCCTAGTCGCCTTTAACAGAAAAAACGACCGAGCATACGAACGTTTGAGTCGTGCATCCTGAAATCGACGCTGAGCGGGAAAAAAGCGCCGAGTTCGGTCCAGCGCTGACACAGCAGTTCGGGTGCTCCGGGCATGCAGATTGGTCCACCCACCTGAGAAACAAGCGGGAAGCAATCAGTTACATTGCGTTCTCATTCGATTCTATGTCACGGACACCTTAAGAAATGGGGGGGGGGGGGGGGGGGGAGGGGGGGGGGGCAGTTGTGTTAATTCACGCTTCTTGCTTCGTGATAGTCTTTTGTTGTTGTTGTTGTTGTTGTTTTTAGGCTAATGCCGTCAGCTAATTGGCCGAGGAATGATAATAAGATGCTCGGGGTCTCGTCAAAACTTGCCTTTTTCAATATGTCATAGGTTATGGTAGAAAACACGTGTCTGTTGACTGACAAAAAGCAGCTCATGATATATCGAAAAGCAGTCTGAAAACTTTATTTTCAAAAACAAAATTTGGGGACGCTCAAAAATGAGTTTACAGGTGCGTGTGTCTACGCTGCCCGAATGTCGGTTAGCCTCATCTTGTAATTCCTGGCCACCTATAATCATGAGGTTTGAAGGCGTCATAAGCGCATTTAGTGAACTGTAGATATATCACTACGTTCATTCTTGCTCAGGCTGCACTATCGGTCCTCGGTATTTAGTAAATAAGAAGCATAATATAATATGCACCCTACAATGTGCTGCTTTCTAACTGTTACGTAAGCTGCCAAATACAACTGAGGCGTTCAGACCAACTCGACCAACAATTACGCCGTTTTAACGTTATTCCCCTCAATTTTATTCATAGTTTGTATTCTAATTTTGTTTTCTTTCGTTTCCCTGTCACGGAGAGGTGGTTCGTCGCTCTCATTTTGAGACTACCCAGCTTGATATCATGCGGGAAACAGGCGCAGATCTATCGCAGCTTCCTTTACCTCCAGTGTAGCGTATTTACTCGAGCAATAGCCTCACTATTTATAAACAAGGCCCTTGCGTCTACTTTCCCACAGAACACATGTGCAGCCAGTCATTGCGTTGCGCATAAATAACATAGCAAATAACCAGATCCAGAACACGATTCCATAAACAAACGCAATCTTCGCAGATAGTATCTTCTCACAAGGACGAGGATCTTTGTCTTGTAAACAGCTGGAATCATACTGTCGATTGAGGTGATTGACAATCTGCGTGCTTCGTGGAAAAGCGAACCTTCGAGTTCCCTTTATAAGCACTGCGGCTATTACTCGAGTAGATACGATAATTCATAAAGCGCGATATATAGTCGATCACAGGTTAAGAATTCAATAGATTAAAGCTCACCTTCAGCGTGACTTATCATCCTTTGATAACAATTCGTCGTAACTTACAGCCAACGCCATACGGAGGCGGAGCTTCTACAGAATTCCAAGTCTGTCATCGACTACAATATTCTCGCCGTAGTAGCAACAAAACTTGCAGAACTCACGTAAGGTATTCCGAACATGTTAAACTCCAGGACGCCTGTACAAAAGAAGAAAAAAAAAATCAAGGGTTGAGAAAGACAACGCCAAATTTCGAGAACAAAGAGGCAAAGAAAGAAAGGAGGGATTCTCACCAACGACGGCTCGTCGAAGACTCGACCATTCCTCGGCATCTGGCGAGTCGAGAATGTGTCCCGCGAAGCGCCCGCTTGACGGGTACGTCGAGTCGGACACGAGAACGGTTCGATCGAGGCTCACGTCGTCCATAGCCCTGCAAGAAACGGCGTGTTAGCCGTATCCTTTTCAGAGCGCGTCGGCCCAGTAATTGTTCACATAGCACAAACCAACTCGACTCCCTGACATCGTGCTACTGTGGTGGCGTTGCTGTCGGCACTGAGCAGACGCTTCGTCCTATGCTATGTGGAGAGCAAGTTCGTCTGCTTCTTGCACGGGGTTTCCGATGGTGTCAGAACTCTTACCTCTTAACTATTGACTGATTAAAAACAATGGTGGGTTGACCTCAAGGCATCTGGCATTGAGGTATACCCACTATCCTTTCAATCAAAGCCAGTCAAAGCTAGGCGTCATGCTGACGTCACAGAAACTCCTGCTCAAGAAGCAAACGACTTGCTCTCCGCATAGTGTGTTTCCGCGCATCCGCTGAGCCCACACCTGGTGCGGGCAAATGGGCGTTGGTTTGGAAACAGCGTATGGGAAACGCAAGTCTAGTCGGTAGACCCTGAGGCACCTAGCATTGAGGTCTACCCACTATCTTTTCAATCGAAGCCAATCAGAACTAACGGGAGCTCTTATTGGCTGAATGAAAAAACTAGTCGGTAGACCCTGAGGCACCTAGCATTGAGGTCTACCCACTATCTTTTCAATCGAAGCCAATCAGAACTAACGGGAGCTCTTATTGGCTGAATGAAAAAACTAGTCGGTAGACCCTGAGGCACCTAGCATTGAGGTCTACCCACTATCTTTTCAATCGAAGCCAATCAGAACTAACGGGAGCTCTTATTGGCTGAATGAAAAAACTAGTCGGTAGACCCTGAGGCACCTAGCATTGAGGTCTACCCACTATCTTTTCAATCGAAGCCAATCAGAACTAACGGGAGCTCTTATTGGCTGAATGAAAAAACTAGTCGGTAGACCCTGAGGCACCTAGCATTGAGGTCTACCCACTATCTTTTCAACCGAAGCCAATCAGAACTAACGGGAGCTCTTATTGGCTGAATGAAAAAACTAGTCGGTAGACCCTGAGGCACCTAGCATTGAGGTCTACCCACTATCTTTTCAACCGAAGCCAATCAGAACTAACGGGAGCTCTTATTGGCTGAATGAAAAAACTAGTCGGTAGACCCTGAGGCACCTAGCATTGAGGTATACCCACTATCTTTTCAACCGAAGTCAATCAGAACTAACGGGAGCTCTTATTGGCTGAATGAAAAAACTAGTCGGTAGACCCTGAGGCACCTAGCATTGAGGTCTACCCACTATCTTTTCAATCGAAGCCAATCAGAACTAACGGGAGCTCTTATTGGCTGAATGAAAAAACTAGTCGGTAGACCCTGAGGCACCTAGCATTGAGGTCTACCCACTATCTTTTCAATCGAAGCCAATCAGAACTAACGGGAGCTCTTATTGGCTGAATGAAAAAACTAGTCGGTAGACCCTGAGGCACCTAGCATTGAGGTCTACCCACTATCTTTTCAACCGAAGCCAATCAGAACTAACGGGAGCTCTTATTGGCTGAATGAAAAAACTAGTCGGTAGACCCTGAGGCACCTAGCATTGAGGTCTACCCACTATCTTTTCAACCGAAGCCAATCAGAACTAACGGGAGCTCTTATTGGCTGATTGAAAAAACTAGTCGGTAGACCCTGAGGCACCTAGCATTGAGGTCTACCCACTATCTTTTCAATCGAAGCCAATCAGAACTAACGGGAGCTCTTATTGGCTGAATGAAAAAACTAGTCGGTAGACCCTGAGGCACCTAGCATTGAGGTCTACCCACTATCTTTTCAATCGAAGCCAATCAGAACTAACGGGAGCTCTTATTGGCTGAATGAAAAAACTAGTCGGTAGACCCTGAGGCACCTAGCATTGAGGTCTACCCACTATCTTTTCAATCGAAGCCAATCAGAACTAACGGGAGCTCTTATTGGCTGAATGAAAAAACTAGTCGGTAGACCCTGAGGCACCTAGCATTGAGGTCTACCCACTATCTTTTCAACCGAAGCCAATCAGAACTAACGGGAGCTCTTATTGGCTGAATGAAAAAACTAGTCGGTAGACCCTGAGGCACCTAGCATTGAGGTCTACCCACTATCTTTTCAACCGAAGCCAATCAGAACTAACGGGAGCTCTTATTGGCTGAATGAAAAAACTAGTCGGTAGACCCTGAGGCACCTAGCATTGAGGTCTACCCACTATCTTTTCAACCGAAGCCAATCAGAACTAACGGGAGCTCTTATTGGCTGAATGAAAAAACTAGTCGGTAGACCCTGAGGCACCTAGCATTGAGGTATACCCACTATCTTTTCAACCGAAGTCAATCAGAACTAACGGGAGCTCTTATTGGCTGAATGAAAAAACTAGTCGGTAGACCCTGAGGCACCTAGCATTGAGGTCTACCCACTATCTTTTCAATCGAAGCCAATCAGAACTAACGGGAGCTCTTATTGGCTGAATGAAAAAACTAGTCGGTAGACCCTGAGGCACCTAGCATTGAGGTCTACCCACTATCTTTTCAATCGAAGCCAATCAGAACTAACGGGAGCTCTTATTGGCTGAATGAAAAAACTAGTCGGTAGACCCTGAGGCACCTAGCATTGAGGTCTACCCACTATCTTTTCAACCGAAGCCAATCAGAACTAACGGGAGCTCTTATTGGCTGAATGAAAAAACTAGTCGGTAGACCCTGAGGCACCTAGCATTGAGGTCTACCCACTATCTTTTCAACCGAAGCCAATCAGAACTAACGGGAGCTCTTATTGGCTGAATGAAAAAACTAGTCGGTAGACCCTGAGGCACCTAGCATTGAGGTCTACCCACTATCTTTTCAATCGAAGCCAATCAGAACTAACGGGAGCTCTTATTGGCTGAATGAAAAAACTAGTCGGTAGACCCTGAGGCACCTAGCATTGAGGTCTACCCACTATCTTTTCAATCGAAGCCAATCAGAACTAACGGGAGCTCTTATTGGCTGAATGAAAAAACTAGTCGGTAGACCCTGAGGCACCTAGCATTGAGGTCTACCCACTATCTTTTCAATCGAAGCCAATCAGAACTAACGGGAGCTCTTATTGGCTGAATGAAAAAACTAGTCGGTAGACCCTGAGGCACCTAGCATTGAGGTCTACCCACTATCTTTTCAACCGAAGCCAATCAGAACTAACGGGAGCTCTTATTGGCTGAATGAAAAAACTAGTCGGTAGACCCTGAGGCACCTAGCATTGAGGTATACCCACTATCTTTTCAACCGAAGTCAATCAGAACTAACGGGAGCTCTTATTGGCTGAATGAAAAAAACTAGTCGGTAGACCCTGAGGCACCTAGCATTGAGGTCTACCCACTATCTTTTCAATCGAAGCCAATCAGAACTAACGGGAGCTCTTATTGGCTGAATGAAAAAACTAGTCGGTAGACCCTGAGGCACCTAGCATTGAGGTCTACCCACTATCTTTTCAACCGAAGCCAATCAGAACTAACGGGAGCTCTTATTGGCTGAATGAAAAAACTAGTCGGTAGACCCTGAGGCACCTAGCATTGAGGTCTACCCACTATCTTTTCAATCGAAGCCAATCAGAACTAACGGGAGCTCTTATTGGCTGAATGAAAAAACTAGTCGGTAGACCCTGAGGCACCTAGCATTGAGGTCTACCCACTATCTTTTCAATCGAAGCCAATCAGAACTAACGGGAGCTCTTATTGGCTGAATGAAAAAACTAGTCGGTAGACCCTGAGGCACCTAGCATTGAGGTATACCCACTATCTTTTCAACCGAAGCCAATCAGAACTAACGGGAGCTCTTATTGGCTGAATGAAAAAACTAGTCGGTAGACCCTGAGGCACCTAGCATTGAGGTATACCCACTATCTTTTCAATCGAAGCCAATCAGAACTAACGGGAGCTCTTATTGGCTGAATGAAAAAACTAGTCGGTAGACCCTGAGGCACCTAGCATTGAGGTCTACCCACTATCTTTTCAATCGAAGCCAATCAGAACTAACGGGAGCTCTTATTGGCTGAATGAAAAAACTAGTCGGTAGACCCTGAGGCACCTAGCATTGAGGTATACCCACTATCTTTTCAACCGAAGTCAATCAGAACTAACGGGAGCTCTTATTGGCTGAATGAAAAAAACTAGTCGGTAGACCCTGAGGCACCTAGCATTGAGGTCTACCCACTATCTTTTCAACCGAAGCCAATCAGAACTAACGGGAGCTCTTATTGGCTGAATGAAAAAAAACTAGTCGGTAGACCCTGAGGCACCTAGCATTGAGGTCTACCCACTATCTTTTCAATCGAAGCCAATCAGAACTAACGGGAGCTCTTATTGGCTGAATGAAAAAACTAGTCGGTAGACCCTGAGGCACCTAGCATTGAGGTCTACCCACTATCTTTTCAACCGAAGCCAATCAGAACTAACGGGAGCTCTTATTGGCTGAATGAAAAAACTAGTCGGTAGACCCTGAGGCACCTAGCATTGAGGTCTACCCACTATCTTTTCAATCGAAGCCAATCAGAACTAACGGGAGCTCTTATTGGCTGAATGAAAAAACTGGTCGGTAGACCCTGAGGCACCTAGCATTGAGGTCTACCCACTATCTTTTCAACCGAAGCCAATCAGAACTCGGTGTCGTTTTGACGTCAGCGTAACCCCTGCGCACGTAGCAGACGACTTGCTTTCCTGATTGGCGTATAAGCCACGATGTCGAGTCCCAACTATCTTAACATCACTCCGCAGCCAATGAGATTGCAGCATTAACCGAGAGGAACACCGAAGGATCAATCGGGAAGCAAGAAGCGCGAACACAACAATCGACGCCAGCGCTCCTTAAGCTTTCAGTGACTCCAATAACTTGGAGCATATGTGACTATAGAGTTAAGATGAGATAAGAAGCTGCTTCCGTCATGTGCGTTCCGACATTCCTCCGACAACAGCAACTGCTCGCTGACACATCAAGAGCAGAATTTCATAAATGCGAGCCGGCTTCAGAGCTAATGTTCATAAACAAATACTTAATATTCATTTCATGACATTAAGGTGTTACAAAGGCGACTGACTGCCCAAGTAGCACACAAAACTTTGAGGTTGGCCTTAACGCCTGCACTGGTCCCTTGACCGATGGGCCACCGATTTCCATGGAAAGGGTTAAACAAATAGCGGGCATGGCCTTTGCTTGGTCTCACCTAAACACAACCCTAAATATTTCGTTGCAGCTTAAGTCCGGACATAGCCGACGCTACGAACTATTGGGACCGATCACGCAGCGTCAAAAGCGCAAGTCACTGAGTCTCTTCTGCTTATGATTGGCTCAGCGATGATTGGTCCCATCAGCTCCAAACGTGCCCTTATCGGCTATCGGCCAATGTCGCCATCTTCTTCGCTCCGGAACAAGAATATCTTCGGGACTCGATCGCTACGTTTTGCATTTCGGAATCTGGGTAGGTGACAATAGTGGAGCCATGGGTTCGCAGGGCACTACGCATTGCCGATGGCAGAGTTTTGGTTACCCGGCTATTGATGCCCTTGTTTATGTTCGCTAAAAATATGGGTGGTTAAAAGCAACTTATTAACACATCTTTTCCATAATATATTACAGCAGCCGTTGGCCAAACCTTTTTGTTTCAAACTTCGAGCAAAACGACTGTGTACTACTAACTTTTGAGTGTCAAAGTGGCGCTCAAGTCGTGTGCACCACGCCAAGCAGGCACGCTATTTCAGTCTAAAGTACCGCTACCGTGGCGTCATCAATCTACCAGTTTATCAACTTTTTGGAACGAGTCATTGAATAAGTATGTTGACTGTCCCACTCCTCCCAGTGCCCCATTCCTCCCCACTCTCCACAAAACAATTTCTCACGCACGAACGATTAATTGCCGACTTATGTTGTTTTAAACTACTGTGTTTCTTCTTTCTGAGCTTCTCGCGTTACCATCAGCCATCTCTTCCTTCTCGTTGACCCTACGTTCGATCGCATTGAACTGCAATAGCTCACGCCCTCAGTGAGGTAAACCTTACGTCGCAAGAATACCACCACAGCCCTTAACTTGCTAACAACTACAGCCTGCACACTAACCATTCGAACCCACCGTTAAGGCGATCCGCTGCGATAATTACTACAGAGGCGCGGCTAGGTGGTTGAAACTGGGAGTGAAATTATCAACGGATGAATGAAGTTACTCGCATAAAAAATAAAAAAGTAAAAACTTCTCTTTGGGAAATCTGCGGAGGCATTCGCAGACGTTGTCATGACCGTGCTCGTCTATGCTCATTTTCATCTCAAGAAGAAAAAAAAAAAAAAAAAGCTTTGTGCATTGCTTATGCTCCGCGCGAAGTACTTCCTACAAGATTTCGTTGTCGGAAAAAAAAGCTATGTTTTCATCGTTTGAAACGCGTACGTTTCTATAAGATAACATACATGTTCATCTTATCTTAAATCTAATCTAAAATGATGTAATAAAAATAATAATAATAAGAAGAAGAAAAAAAAATAAAAATAAAAAAATAAAAATGATATATGTCTTAATTCTTCCCATAAATGGGGAAAATTAGTAATGCTCAACCTCAAGAACCGTAGTAATGCTTGCTACGGTTCTTGAGGTGAAATATGTGCCGCGGAGCTTCTCAGACAATCTTCCATGTGCCGCCGAGCTCAGCAGACGATCTTCGGAGACGTTTCACTATGGCGGCGCGCCTTTCCAATGTACAATTTTAAAAATGCGATCATTTATGCTTAAAAAAATAAGAAAACATAAATTTTAATACCTCATGGCTCCCATTTTTTAGTCAGATATGATCGATGGATGCGCCGCAGACTCTCGTATTTCACGTTGCACCATCTTCAGGCAGCACATCAACTAGGCGGGCACGGTCGTAACAACGTCTTCAAATGCCATCGCAAATTACCCAAGACTATATTTTTTTAACGAGATAAGTTTGTTTCTTGGTATTTTCACTGCACGCTTACACCACCTGACCGCACCTCTGTAGTGAACCGCATAGCGCTACCTTCAGAAACCGATATTTCCGGACCGTTTAACGTAGCTTCGAAGCGTTAGTATGTGGTGCCGTGGAAGCGTTAGTTGACCATGTGGTGCCAGGGAAGAATGCTCACGTCATTACGAAAATGCAGTTTGTCGCACCAGCGCTACTGTTCAACGTATTTGGTACATTCGCGAGTGTTCGATGAATATTCTTCTATTAGCTGTAAAACAGCAGATTGCTGGGTATAGTTGGTGATTGACCGATATAATGAAAAACTGTGTAAACTAGACACTAGGGTTTAAAAAAGAAAACACAAACCAAGCGCTATTACCTGTCCTGTGAGTTTCGCCGACTCCATCCCGTCCATTCTGCGCTGCATTTCATTGTGAACGCCAGAGATAGCTAATGTCACTTAGTGTCACACTGCCATAGATCATACAAAAGACACTGTGTATGTTCACGCTGAAGGCATCATGACAAAATTATCTGCGCCTCAAGCATGTTCAAAGAATGTTTATGTCACACGTATGTGTGCTTCGAACATAGCTACAGACAGTTTTTGTACGAGCAATGTGACAGAACCACTATACAAGGACGAAACCATGTCTGAGACAGCCTCTGCAGACTGTCTTTCGTAGGATTCATAAGCAGTATGGCCGCCACTTAAGAACGATAGCCAAGGACGCTAGGCGCCTTAGCTACCGCGAGGCAAGCTTCCCCTTACGTCTTGGTCGTCCAGGTCTGCCTCCAGCCGTAGACGCTGTGGAGGTCGTAGTGTGGAAGCTCCTGGTGCTCGCCCATGCCAGCGCTCATGCACAGCGTTCCCTCGTGCAACTTGGTCCGGTTCTCCGATTCCCTGTAGGCATCTGCGCCACACAAGCAGAATCACGAATGACAACGGGCCTTTGAGAGCTGTCCGAACAGGACACACTTTCTGCTATGCACGGCAAAAGAAAAAGAAAGAACCGTAAAAGCTTTTTGCGGGAACACGCTAAAGATATAAAAAAATCGTTAAAGACACTTGAGACTGCTTGCGTACAAGAATGCGAAAGCGGTCTTACACGCAGCGCATTCTTACAACCCCCTATTGAAAAATCTCATTTGTGTGAAAACTTTATGTATCCAATAAACACAATGAATCATACAAGATATATAAGAACATATAGGAACATATAAGAACCATATAAGAAACTTATACGAAACTTCTCACAAGTTTTGTATATGGTCTTATATATTTTGTATGATTCATATGTGTTTATTGGATATGAAATTTTTTATACAAATGGATTTTTCACTAGGGCAGTGCTCCACGGCTTCCTTTTTTACATGGCGCTCCGGCTCCGGCGCTCCGGCAGTGGCCGGAGGGGGCGCTCCGCCACTGCGCAGGCGCAGCGCCCCCTCCGGCTCCACGGCTTCCGTGACGATGCATCTGCGTTGTTGTCCTTTTCTTTGTGTTTTATTTATGAGGCACGTCCGCTTTGACCATGAGCGGTCCCGCCGGCTTTCGTGACAAAGCATCTGATATGACGCGCCGCAGCCAATGGGAATTTATTGCTTGTTTCGCTGTTACAGACAATGCCGGCTTCGCTCCACGGGACAGTTAATGCTTTCGCACTAACAAGCAGACAGCATTAACCGGGTACAACTAAAAAATAGACATGCTTATTGTTAAAGGAAAAACTTTCTCTTGGGATGAGGAAATTGTTCCGCTATACTTCGTTTAAGCTTAAGTCCAGACGCAGCGGACGCTACGAGCTAATGGGACCAATCAAACAGCGTCAAAAAGGCAAGTCACTAGGCCTTTTATGTCTATGACTGGATTAGCGATGATAGGACACGTTCAAAACATGACGGACACCATGATGGTGCGCTTTTGACGCTCTCTGATTAGTGCCTTCAGCTCTTCACGTCGGCTGCATCTGGGCTCAAGGTGAAATGAAGTATAAACCAATTCAACTCACTGACGTCACGCCAATGCGGTGGCGCTGCTGTCGGTACTGCGCATGCGCAGACCCTTCGCTCCTCCCGATTTTGGTTTCTGCGCATGCGCAGTGCCCACACCTCATATGGGCCAGGCGGGCTTGTCTGTAAACACTACTTTGGTGTATAGTACTGCAGTGACACCACCGTGCGCAAAAGAAACGCGGCTGTCTTGATTCTGTAGCTGTTGTTGCAAACTGCAGAAATGTAAGGAACAACGTTGAGCAACTTGCTGGTCTCATTGAGTCTGTCTAGGCTTATATAGTATTCGGAATAGAGTCATTGCTAAACCCGTCTATTGCAGATAGTCAGGTCTTTCCAAAAGAGTACATTTCTTTTGTTTTTAATATTTATTAATGTCAGTAAGAATCTTTGTTTATGAGGTTGTTCGCTAATAATTGGGTTTTGTATAAAAGAGTTAAGAGTGAGAATAATGTCGCTGAGTTACAAAAGGACTTAGACCGTATTGATACTTTGTGTTCTAAAAGCAAAAAAAAAATGAATTTGAATACCTAAAAAAATGTACATGTCTTACAAAAAAAAATTGAAAATCAGTATCATATAAATAACAATCAACCTACACACAACTATCTAGACGTCATTTTATCCACTGATTATTTATGGGAGTGCTAACGTGGATGATGTGATGGATACAGCCAGTGGGGCGCTAACATATGTGAGGCAAAGATTTTAGAATATATCCCTGCCGTTTGGGACCCTACATAAAAAAGGTTGATAAACTGTAACAAATACAGACTAGAGCTGCTCGGTTTGTCTTGAAGCGCTATGGGCGGAAGGGCAATGTTACTAAATAAAAATAATTTAATAAATTGAGAATCGGTGTCCATTCGACGAACAAAAGTTCGATTAAAATTCTTACTTTTATCATTTAATTTTAGAAAAAGGAATCAATAGCGCAACTGATTGGGAAGAACGATATGTCTCTCATCGAAATGATCAAGTCTTTAAAGTCGGAGAATGCCAGCCAGAACAAACATTTACGCAATTCGTTTGTATTTTCTTTTTTTCTTAAAACTATTATACAGTGGATTTGGCTGTCTTCAGAGCAAGTATACTCTGCTAATGAAGGCTTGTTTGTTTTTTTTTCTTTTTGCAATACTGTAGCTCCCCTGCTGTAACACAATCGGGCAATTCGGGGTTATCTTTGAATAAAGAATAAAGAAAAAAAAAAGAAAACCGTTGCGGCGTGCGCACGCACTTTTTCGGTGAAGACATTAACCGAGCAAACACCACGGCTTCCCTCCTCACCACGTCGCTATCGTATCCTGCCTTTCTTTGTTTTCGGGAGGTCGGAAACTGGCAACAACAGCGGTGGCTCTGACGACAGCCAGCAGGGTGCGTGACGTTCCGCCCTACGTCATGAGCACGCTCCGAGGGTTTGTACAAGGACGCTAGCGGAGAATGACTCCCCCACCCCCGGGACAAAAAAAAAAAAATCGTTCCAGGGCGGACCAGAAACAATGTGAAGAGCCCCGCTTCCGTCCAGCAAATAGTGTCGATAGCAGAATAGCTGTCCTGTGCGGGCAGCCCTTTAATTAAGCAGCTTTAGTATAACGTTGGAATACGTAACGGGGAGATCGATGTCCGAATGTGTTCGCGCACCGCAGCTCCAAGCGCGTGAAGCGAAAGCTCGCGCTGCAGAGCCCAGGGGTCCTGGGTTCAATCCCAACCCCTGCCCGTTTTGATCTGGATGAGCATCTCACCGGCGTTCACAGTCCAGTATCACTACTGTGTAATGCACGTAAAAAAAAAAAAAAAGGCCAGAAGTAGTATTGCACTGGCTAATTTAGTCATCTACAGTTGAGACACCAGACGCCCACCGAGGATAACTTCCGGCTGTCTAATGATCATACACGCAACACAATTATTTATACGGAGCGCCAGTGCCATCGGAAGCTCTCGCTATGACGTCGAAGCACGCTCTTCACTGCGCATCAGGAGCCGTACCGTGGCCGCGGTAGCCAGCGCTGACGCCGCGCAAAAACATCCTATCGGCGTAGAATTATCGCAATGTCGTTACGGTTGTCGCCATGCCGGAATGAGAACGTACAGCGAATTAACCTTGGTGCCTCCGACTATCGTCGCGGTGGTTTTTTGTCCAGCAGCGTGGCATAAAGATGGCGGTTGACTAAAACGTTGTTGATGTTGTTGTTTGTACATTAGGGAGTTGTAGAGAACCGTTTTTGCACCTTCGATCCGGTACGATTGACACTCCAGTATGAACTGCGCATCTGCGAGTTTTCTGCGATAGCGCATGCGCAGTGCGTACCGGAGGGCCTATCGTAGCATATCTGATGTGCAAAAACGGTTCCCTAAAACTCCCTATTACCTGCCAGTTCCAGTATACGGTAACGGTAACGGGAGTAGCATACTGCGATGTTAAGACGCTTTAACGAATCCCAAGTGTACCGTACGAGCGACATGATTAAGATCAAATTTCCAGTAAAAGTTCATTGCACTGCCTTTTTGAAACGTCACTTTAAGCTTACACTGAAGGCATTAGAACACTCTTTGTTTTGTTTTCATTTGTTTTGCTTTTCTAAAAGTTGTTTCTTTTACGGGACTCAAAAATATGTTCACTGTTCTTCCACAATTTTCAGACAGCTAACTATTTCTTGTCAAAGTACATCAGGCGACAAGTGTCTCGATAGAGGATTCATTGTCCGCCGGAAACGCCAATGTCTGCATTAGCAGATGCCGTGATTTCTTTTCTGGGGCAGTGTATAAAGCATTTACGGTGATTAAAGGAGTGTGGTAATTCGTTGTGAATATTTCTTGGGCCATGAGAACACAGCTCTGAATTTGAAGGTAAAACAAAATAATAAAGATTTGTGCCAGCGAGCCTGAAGATGTGTCGAGTCAAAGCGAAGCAGTTCTTACATGGTAGGTATGGTGGATCTTCCCATTTGCTTTCGGGACATACTTGGGCCTGGCACGACGCGTCTCCTGGTTGGCAGTTTAGGTCAGCGCTGAATTCTGCCGGCTCGTTGACGTCCTGAAAGGCAAGATGGTCATACATCGAAGGCCAGAAATGTTTTTTTGTTATTCTATACCAATGACTAAAATGGTTTGAGGATGATGCAACAAAAAAAAAGAGTGTTGAGACGGTTATATTTAAAAACGTCCGGTGTCCTTTAAAAAATGTCCAACGGGTAATTTAGAACTTGAATTACCTGATCTTAAATATGTAGTTAAATATTCGAACGCACCTGTATGAATGGTCAATATCCGTATGACTTGGAGACCGGCATAGCCGGAACAGCTTTCTGTGGTGTTCCATAATCAACATGTCCCATAACGAGCACTTTTATAATGTACTCGAAAACTCCTATACAGGTTGGACAGCCAAGAAGCGTGTGGCAGGTGTCTTAAATAAGAAAGTTTCCTCCTTCATTAAGCTAAAAGGCTGCACTAGAATTCGAAAACGTACCAGAAATATTGCGCTGAATTCGGTGACATTCCCCTGGTACTCTTCAATCAGGTTTTTCCACCAGTTCCGCGTGCGGTTTTTGAAAAAGTCCGGAAACGCTGACAAGCCAGAGGGTAACCCCTGGAAGCAAGACACGATTTTTATGTTCACGCGTGGATGCATCACGAGCCCTATGACCATGACTCTGTTCTAATTCTTAAGGAAGCGACTGTGGTCCCTTGTTCCTTACCTTTGCTAGAAGGACAGCATTGGTATTAGATACAGGTGGATTGTTCCCCTGTCGCACAAAAACGTCCTGAGCAAGCCCAGTTTTGTACGGAGCGTAGACTGTCCTGTTATCGGCGGCGATGGCAGGATTCTAGACCATTCAAAAGAGGTCAGTGTCATCATTTTACACCACTTCAATAGGAGTTGGAAACAATAGCGAGTTGTAGAATAGCATACCCAAAAAACTTTTCGTGCGCAAAAACAAAAAAAAAATAGCGTCGTCAACATGCCCAAACTTCCAAATGCGGTTTGGGCTTGGTGCACGTGCTGGGGCGACGACGCTTTTCTTCGGCGCGCGCAAAGCTTTGTGGGTACGCTTTTTTTTAAACTTCTTAATTAGGAAGAACACTCAATAGATTAGATACTGGACAATTCATACAGGTGTCAGAAGACACAGCCCGTCTGCTAATGTTCACGACAGCGGCCAGTGATGTTACCAAACTCGTTCCGTCTTCAAAAGTTTCAAGAATCACTGCAGACACATTGTCGTAAACAATGGCGGCTTAGGCTATAAGAATGCAGAATTTTTTTTTTTAACTTGTTGGAAGAATATACCTGCACGCTTGCTAACTTCTGAAAATGAGAAAGCCCCCCCAGTAAAACAATGTAGGCCGCACGGTACATCGGAGAAACTGTGGCGGCGCAGAACGTATTGCGCCAGCACAAGTTGGTTATTTGACTTGTAGAACATTTCTTGTGCTTCCCTTTAAGTCCGACCGTAGCCGACGCTACGATCTACTGGGGACCATTAAGCAGCGCCAAAAGTGCTTCGTCACGGCACTTGTCGCTTTTGTTCGTTTTGCTGGGGTTTTCGCTTAACAAGTGTGTGAATACAAATTACTCTTACCAGGTGAAAGAGGAAAAAAGGAATCTATACTTACAAGGATGAGCCCGACCTGAACGCCAGAGTTTGCAAGTTGTTGCACGTAAGTTGCGAGGCCGTTGAAGTTGGAGCTTAGAGTGAACGCCCTTGAGTCTTGAGAAACATCCAACCATAACGCGTCCTTTAAAAAAAAATGCATCTTAAGAAAAGGCGCGTGCCGTCATCTTGGACCAACAACTCATTTACTCGGTTAACGAGCAGGACATCGTAAAGTGCAAACGGGGCATACCTTTGGAACGCCGCCTTGATCCAAAACGGTCACGGCCAGCTTCAGACTCGCCAAGGTCGGAATCCGTTGCAACCAGTGTTGGTAGCCCAAGGCCCAAAACGGTGGTAAGAAGGGGTTTCCGATAACCTGAGGACGAATAACATCCTTGAGGCATATGCAGAAGAAAACATGTCCCTCTATAATATAATTGGCAGTGGTTGACACTAGAGCCACCAAATAATGTATGCTTCGAAATAACGACACTTCAGCCATCTTGGTACTTAAAGTCATGGTTGCCGGTCATCCGAAGCTTTATTGGAAATGGCAGGAAACTGTTTTACGCCATCTAGAAATTTTTAAACAGTTCGCGACAAAACAAAATTATATCGCCTGAGCTTCCTGTGCTCAGGAGGGGAGATTTCTTAATCGTAATGATCAGAAATTGCATCTGCTCTGCACTAAGGACAGAAATGGTGGCGACCAAAAGAAAATCGGCAAATAGAGCGCCGATACTCTAGGAGTAGCCTATTTGGGGGCTTTAAACTCGTTTTAACCTCAACAATTGGCAGAAAATAAAAAAAAAAGCTTCTGCTGCGTGCAATTATGCTCAACATAAAAACACATTTTTCCGGAGTTTTTATGGAGAAAACCACTGCTCGTCTTACCCCTTTGTAAACAACAGGCAGATAAATTCATCCAATGCATGTCAAACTTAGTCATATAAAAAAAGTCTCCTCTACAAGTTTATGCGAACAAAATGTGTTTTCACATGTAATCACAGACAACTCGAAAATATACATCTTATAGCAGGTACTATACTCGCAGTATTTTTTAATTAAAATAACGTCTATACCAATTAAGCATTTTTGTTTCTTTCCTTTTTCTCAACTATGCACGACCCACAAAAAGTGCATATCAAGCTCATACCTGAAAAACCCCGAGACAGGCTTTTTCAAGTATAAACGTTCAACAGCTAGCCTGCGCCACAACTCTTATTTCGCATGAAGCTTCATCTAGACAAAATGACGGGATGGCCCTGATCACCCTAGTCGAACCACATGTTAGCTTCTGAAAGTTCATTGCATGTAATACTCCGTTTATGAACATGAAACGCGCAAGCAATCGTTTCTTCTTCTGGCCCTCCAATGTGCAGCTGAAAGTCTAATTAGGTTCTAGGTACTTTGCCGTATAAATTGCAAACAGGTGATGCTTAGGTTACAAGGAACTTTGGGAACTTTGCTGCATAAGATGCATGCAAGTGACGTTTGCGTTACAAGGAGCTTTGCTGTAAAAAGTGCTTGCAAGGGATGCTTGGGTTGCAATGAACTTTGCGAAAACGAAGTCAGCTGTTATGCTTAAAGCATATCCTACACGTCGTCTTTACAACCATTTCTTCCGGACTATAGTTAGCGGACTCTACATGTTTAAAATATAAAGTTTTACGCAGCCTACAGGTGTGGACAATGCAAGAATGTTTTACAGGATCGTTCACTATGACTAGATATTATTTATTTAATAACAAGGTATATTAATTATTATTTATATATGATACAATTTTTAAGCTAGTAAATCGGGCATTTGTTAAGGTGTGCTGTGTATTTTTTTTCTTTTTTCTTACGTCCGGACTATGCACCAAATGTAAACTATTTAGGAAAAAAAATATTTTTCGACTGAAATTTGTTTTGGCGGGCTACACACCGGGTGCGTTCTACAGTCCGGAAAATACGGTACGTGCGGAAAAAAAAAAAGGAGAAGCACATTCACCTTATGGTATAGCTGTATCACGTGGTTTGGCGTAGATCCAACGAAGAAGTACAGATCCAGGATGCCACCTATGGCCGCCAGGGCGATGCTGCCGCTGCCCGTCACCGTGTAGTCTGCGAAACAAAGAATCCTTGAGTTGTGGTCCCACTGCTTATACGTCATACAAGGAACAGAGTCTGCAAGCACTGCCTGAGGCGCGCTTCTTCCTCGTCGGTTGGTCACATAAGTCATTCAAAAACAGCCTGCATACATGTCCAAAGCACACGCAGGCGTAAAAAGCAAAGATGCTTGGAACATGCTCGAGATGTGCCTTCAGATAAATCTGTCATCATGTCTCAAGACCGTGAATTTTGAATCATGTATAAGTGCTATAACTGCGGCTTTAGTTTTCTTTCTTTGTTTCAAGTGTTTGTTTCTTTAACGACACAAGTGTACAATCATCATTACCCATTGCATTGCTGTTCACCAGCAGTACACCCCATGTCGTGCCGTCTCCCTTTGGGTTCATGAAGAAAGGATGGACGCCTCCAAAGTTGTTCCACGTCTGGAACAAAAACACGAAAAGAACTGTAGTATTTGGTGTGCGACGACTACGCGTACGACCATGGTCGCCGAGAGTCGTACCACTGTGACGCCGCGCCAGGAATCTAGGAAGTTATGGTACAACTACGGTCGTTAACGTGCTAAGAGTTCGGGGAGAGCTCCTCCCCACCTTTAGCAGAGCGAACCGTGGAGAGGAAGTCATCTCTCCCGTAGACTCAAAGTGTAAAAGCGTTCCTGTGTACCACTGGAGCGTCTTACCGGGGAAAACAATTGGAACGAGAGCAAAGTCAGGATTATTTCCTTCAGCCTGTTTGTTGTTTGTGGTACATCAAACGCCGCAAACGTCGACAGCAACGTTCATTTTTTTTTTTTCTGGCGCAAAGGGGGTTCTATTTGTTGGGCCCTCACTCTACATTGACCTGCCAGCAGTGTGGGATGTAGCGCTTTACAAGTAACGACTTTCTTGACAGCGCGTTACTTTCTTCTTCTTTCTTTTCAGGAACGCACTACCGTATATGTTATATTTCTAAATGACCAGCAAGTACAGTATTCTCGTTACTATTTGATGGCATCGTCAATAAAATATTGCTGCTAGTTACTCGTCACTTTTGGCTATTACTTGGTTTTCGCTTTAGCCTAAAAACAAATTATATTTTTTTGTAAACTGCGTCGAAAAAGGGAATAATATTTGCTCCTCCGCGGAATCATTTTGAAATTCCTCCCAAAGCCCCAATCAGAATTAAACAAAATATATTCTACAAATTTGCAAAAATAAATTAGCTAAATACTTTAAAATCACTTCGCCAAAAGTTTAATTGTTGAAGCTTATCGCTGCCAAAAAATACTAAATCTAAAGTAACACAAATCTATAGCGTTCCTCATTTCTTGGAAGTAACGGTGAAGCTATTTCGTTACCTATCTTCGGTAACTGACACAACACTGTCCTGCCACAGACTCACCTTTGTCGAATAATTGGAGCCGTGTCTCGAGAACATGGTACCGCTGCCGGCGCCCAGCATGATTCCGTCGTGGCCGTTCTCACCGAAACCGTAAATCTGTTGACCGCTGTATGGCAACACGATCTGCAGGAACTGCTCCGTCATGATAGGGTACCAGGAGTCCAACCTGAGGAACCGAAAAGTATAATCATTTACAATGGGGGAATAAACTATGTTCAATTCAAACCTGAGAGATATGTATTCGCTGGGTGCCATATTTGAGCACGCTGCTTACATCTGATGCGCGGGACAAGCCATAGTCGAGCAGCCTGATCATAGGGCATGAGCCAAAAGTTACATGTTCCATAGACGCCGCATTTTAGCCCCTTGTTCATAATGAATTTGCTAAAAGTCACGTTCTCTGACTCGGCATATTTTAGCACGTTGTTCAAAGCGCACACGAAGAAAGTCCAGTTTTCTCTGGACGCCTCTTTCACCTCCTCTTTACTCGTCTCAAGACCTGCCTGCTACATCAGACCCGGTCGGGATCCCTCCTCGTTCCCGTCCTCCTCAAGAGGATGCACCCTCGGATCCCACTGAGTGCACCAATGGCCAAACACCCCCTACTCTCGCGCATCTTCTATAGAACCCTTTACTCAACAGTTCGTTCTCCTGCACGATCTTTCGTCTGCCCCCTCCACTCTTGCCGAGTGGCTGAACCACCCCTCTTCACCCGACCTCGGTCGGGTCCTCGCGGCATCTCATTTACTCCGAAACCCTCACCAGGCGCCCCCGCTTCGCTCCAAGTTACTCAGGTCCGTTCTTTATGGCCCCCTCCTGTCGTCTCGCTCTCTCTGTTGACACAAGGGAGAGCTCGACGACACATCCGTGACCAAACAGCATAGCGCTCAAAGCGCTAACTCCTTTGGAAGTTGAATAAAGACGCTTCAAAGCAAAGCAAATTCCTTTTGCATATTGAACTTAATAATTTGTAGTTTAAGAGGTATGGTTTCAATTAAAAACTCCCTGAGCGTCATTGAAAATCATAAAATACGCGCACCTTACAAAACTACAAAGCACGCGCAGCATTCTACGGTATTCCAAACGAACACTCAATATACACGTGTTTCTTTTTTTATTTTTTTTTTGTCCTATTAAAGTGCATGTCCGCGACAGCGGTCCTGAACCCCGTGGCCAACACGCGCAACCCTCGTGTCCCCTCCCCACCGTGCCCCTCCCGTAGGAGAGATGGTATAGTGTAACTCGAGACGGCGAAATAAATCGCTGTGCACGCAGTTTGAATGACATTGCGAGATTAAGTTTTGATGCTTGAATTCACCTCCGTCGTGCGAAGAATGTGTGGTTGCGCACATTATTGCGCACTTCGGTCACGGAAGTGCTTTGGATATTAATATATTCCTACAAGACCACGATCTGTTGAAACACCCCTCACCTAACCCGACATATTATTAACGCCTTTCGAAAGGGGTATTCACGCGGATGAGCTCCCTCAAGGAAGGATGTGCGTGACGTCAGCGATTGGCCGAACCAGCGGGATACCCTCCCCGATACCAGCATTCACATGGAGTCACGGGGGGCGGAGATGTATGAATGGATTGATGCTAACGGCTGTACCCTTTATATCGGGCGGTAGCTTGAGCCACCTAGACAAAACTAGCCAAGAGTGTTGTCAGTGTTAACAGACGCATTTCGCGGTCGCACTCTGACGAGAGTAGAAAAATGGATGGGTAGATGAAACAGCGGTACGCTAGCGGCGCTGTTGGACACGGGGGACGATGCATTGCTTGCTGCTAAAAAAAATATGCTGGGTGAAAGGGTGGACGCAACACAAAGAACGTGGAATCCAAAACCAGTAGTACGAGGATATGCTTGATCAACGACAACATTCAGGATGTAAAAGAAATTTTCAAGGAGCCGACGGCATCCACAAGCCACAACAAGGTAGGCAATCCGGATGCCGCCGCCGGTATCCAGCAGAGCAGGATCTCTACACCTGACAGACACGCGAACGAAAAACCGCCAGCTGCGAAGATATATTACTCGCCAAGGTGGAGAGGGAACACTTCGTGCAGCCCAAGCAAAAAAGCTCCCCCATCCCCCGGGAACCATGTCTCACTCTGAAAAATGTCTGTGCGTCCACTTTCACGCACAACACCTTGGAGAGCCAATCACCACAACTTACGGAGGCAGCTCAGCGAATGACGATGCCGAAACATATGTTTAGACTGAAATACGCAGTCTAAGTTGTAACATTAAGCAATGCAAATCGTCACGCTTGCATTCCTTAATGTCGCAACTCAGACTGCGTTTTTTGGTCTAAACATATGTTTCGGCATCGTCACTCGCTGCGCTGCCTCCGTAAGTTGTGGTGATTGGCTCTCCAAGGTGTTGTGCGTGAAAGTGGACGCAAAGACGTTTTTTAGAGTGTACGTCAGCGCGCCTCCGCACAAAAAGCGTGATGTTGTTATCCCGTGACGCGCATCTCGGGGAGCCAAGAAACGGATTTCTCTCTCGTGTTCATTCCAGACTTGTGCCTATCTCAAATACTCTATTCAAGATACTGTATTTCAAATATGTTTTAAGTATCTCGGTATCTTGCAAATAGTTTTGATCGAGAGTATTTGATACTGTATTTTAATTCCATTTTTGAGCATCTCATACTCATTATCTCGAAACACATTTTTGATATTCGACCTTTTTTCGAACTTGCGGTCTGAAGTGGCCTGGGCGTGGCACGAGCAAACTTTAACATTTTTTCGAGCTATTAAATCTTGTTGCTAGGTTCGATAAGCTACGCCGACTTACATTAATTGAGCTTGTGAAAACATCGCTTTTGTGACGAATGTGACTCATATCTCACACCAAAGTTCGTACAATCACTGTTTTAACCTTGCCTTCCCGAAGACACCTTTTGTTTCCTAGAGTTTCCCTCAAAAAATATCCTCAAACAAAAGGGGTGGTTTTACGGAAGTAAGGATTGTCACACTGAGGCGCAGAGCAAAACGGAAAACAACCCACAACAACAATGCAGACTTCAGTGTCCAGGAAACAACAAATAGGAAAAAATGCGCAGTGGACAGAAAAAGAAGACACTTTTTTTTGCTTGTTCTACATTTCATACCTCTACTGCACAACGTGGAGGTTTTTTGTTTATTTTCTTTTTGTCGTCAGTTCGGCACTTATTGCCCTTGCGAACACTGTCTGTAAGCGAACACTGATAAGCAGAGAATAGGACAGAAAACGAACTGTGAGCAGGATAACCCCTCAAAATGACAACAAAGCGTCCCCCAAAGTTGACTGCCTTTCTGAATGAAACCTACTTGAAGAAGGTGCGACCTGTGCTGTGGCTTTTATGTGGGCTCTCTTTGTTATCAATTCACTTATTTCCGTATCCCAAGTTCGTTTGTGTGAACTCCCTATATAGAAAATTTGAATTGTAGTTAAACGATGCGTCTAAGGTGCGCTGCAGGTCGTGATATTCAGCGATGTCCCTATTCGCAACTTTCAACGATGGTGGCACCGCGGTGTCAGGATCGCACTCCCCAGCTCCTGGATGATCGGCTTCACAAAAAGGTGACTGCCTACACCTTCCAGGCAGGAAAATAATAAAGTAAGGCTCTAATGCTCCTCGTATAAAGCAAAACTATAATTAATTACTGCTGTTCTACGACGATCCTATAGACGAAAGCAATTTTGATAGGCATCAGCGAGCCCCTTATAGGTCGGGAAAATTGCAAATAGCTAAAGCGACCTCTTTTTTTTTTTTTTGTCCCAGAAATGTTTTGTAACATGTATCAGTGATATCCTGCTTTTTATAGTTTTACTGCATAAAATAGCACTACGATTTTTTTCTGCCGTCTTGTGTTGTTGCGTGTTAATAAACCATTCTGGTAAACCAGAATTGCGAAACTGTATAATTGCGCTTGTCACTGACGTCGATACCAATTACCCAATGCGGAAGTATCTTGAAAAGTAGTTGAATTACATCGCAAAGTATTTGTACTCTACTCAAGTTAATTTACAATGAAAGCAACTAGAGTAGTGTTTTGAACACTTAGTGGAGCAGGTATTTAGTAACGTAACTCAAATACTTTCATCGAGTATTTTGTCCAACACTGGTTTATACCCCTTAGCTAGGAGTGTTGTCAAGACGTTTGAAATAGCTGCACTGATAATTTTATAATATTAAGCAACGTACTATATTTATGGCACGCCAAACTGTTATTTGATTCACACTTGCTCGAGTCGACACAGGCGGTACCGCCGTCTTAAACCTCTCCGATAAGTGTACTATATGTCACTTACAGCTTAAGATACACAGGGCGTGTCAAGTCCCGAGCATATAATTATCGCCCCTCAATCAATCACATGGCGGCATTGGCGAATAAGAACGCCGAAAGACCAATCACAAAGCAAGGGGCGTGAGAAGCCACGCCCTCCGCTTCTTAAGCTCTCAGTGATCGTAGAACCTGCACATATTAACCAGAACGCGAGATCCAGCGTTCAACTCTTCGAAAACGCGATACCACTTTATAATAGAGAGTTCAGAAGTCTACTTACATTGGGATTTCGTTGTCCGTGCGAAGAATGCGAATTCTAGCGTATCCCTTCTTGGTCTGATTGGCTTCGATGGTGTAGGCGAGTTGGTCCTTGTTGATCGGCGGCATAGTCCTGGGGATCGCCCAAAGGCTCGAGACCGGCACTTCGTAGCGGGGACGGTCCTCGTCGTGAATCTGCGTTCACAATATATATATTTTTTTTTATTATTATTTTTGTGTTTGCTGTTGTTGTCATTAAAGGGACACTGACAGGGTATTTATGCTTTCACAATATATATTATTTTTGTCGTTGCTGTTGTTGTCATTAAAGGTACACTGAGAGGATAATTATGCTCGCCAAGATTCTTATTTGTACAGGACACACGAGTGCCCAACTACCCCTAACACAATTTACGGCTCGAAATTTGTTCTCTTTCCGCCCGAAAACCGTCGATTGAGAATTGTCCGGTTTGGGTCGCGCTCACTCTCTTCTCCGGGGTCATGGGCCGTTTTCTATGGTTTATACCAGAACCACCAAAGATCGTCTAAGTCGTGGGTCATCGAAGGCACACACTCAATACTAGAAATAGGCAGAAAATATGCTACCCATTTTTGTGGCTTCTAAAACGCTGCAAATACGTTCATCGAAAAAAAAGAAAAAGAAGTTGCACAGCCACGTGATTTTTGGCCAAAGTTCTTCTCCTCTATATTTCTTTTTCCTCCCCAGTCCAGTTTCGGTTTCAGTGTCGAACAATTGCGTTTTTTTGTTTTTTTTACGTTATTAAGAATACACGTGACGCTGTAGAAAAATATTGATTGGGTAGTGTTCCGACACCTTTATAAATCGCCTGGAAACAAAAATGTAAAAAAAAATGTTGAGGGGTGTTAGTTTTCCTTTAACGAATCGCTGTTAGCATATAGACTTGTAAATTCATATTTTTAAAATTCCAGTTGGAATCGAATGATGCCTTTCCTAACTTTGACAACAGTCACGGAAGTGTGGAGCCAACATGGAGTCTACATTGACTTCTCACTGACGTGCAACTCTTTGTTATCACCGATTGCACAGCAGAAGCGAGTCCCCCTTCATAGCTGTAACTCAGACGCTGAAAGCAAACGCGAAAGTCAAACTTGGGAGTTGCTCGTGCCAAACCAACGGAGGACATCGGGCGCGCTTCAGCAAACGACTTTGGATTCATTTTGACCACCAGGGGATCTCTGGCGCGCAGCCGAAATCTCAGTTATACAGTGCCTTCTCCGCAATAAACCCGCAAGTCACCTGCAACTTACAACTCTGCGAAGGCTTCGGCAGAGGAGTTGGGGCACCGCGATGACGACTGCGACACTCGCGTTCGCTCGTACTTGTTGCCGGCACATTTAGAACCAACCGCCAGAGTCGCGACATCCGACATGGCGCGTCGGCTTCTGTGACGTCATCTGTTGCCACTTCGGGGCCACTTTTGATGTATGAACGCAGGATAGGACGCTAAACCAGCGGAGAGCAAGTCGTCTGTTTCTAGCGCAGGAGTTGCAGTGACGTCAGAACGACGCCGAGTTCTGATTGGTTTTGATTGAAAGGACAGTGGGTAGACCTCAATGCTGAATGCCTTGAGGTCTACTCACTATATTTTTTTAATCAGGCAATAAGGTTTTGGCGATCTGATATCGTCGTAACCCTTCTGCAAGAAGCGGACGAACATGAGCTCACTCCGCATACCATCTAGGACAAAAGGCCTATGCTTGACGTCACCGTTGGTGAATCCCCGGCCCGCCCCAAGCAGCAAACTAGCTAAAGCTCGACGGGAGACGATAACAAGGCAGCAGGCCTGTCCGTCTTGGCGTTGCTGCTGGCGCAAGCTAACCGACGTTGCATGCATCCACTACCATTGACGTTTGGGGAGGGAAAATGTGTAGGCCTTTTCCTCTAGGTGGTACTGGCTAAACGCTCCAGACAATGACGCGTTTCTTGCACCGTGGTTCAGGTTCATGTTGTCCACTCACCCTCAATCTGAGGATATCCTCGGTGATATAGACGGCCTGCACCTTGACGTTGTTGATGACCTGGTTCATGAAGGGACTCTTCCTCGCGATGTCGTACGAGAGGCTGAAGTTCACCTCGCGGTCACCGTACGTCGTGTGCCTGTACCTGTACCCGAAGGCGTCTTCTCGCAGGAAGCACGTCCTCGTGCCCGTCGCCGAGTCTTCGACTGCACGGCAGCCGTAGTCGGCGCAGTCTTCGCACGAAAAAGAAGAGACAAGGTCGGTGAAATTCAAAAACAAAAGAAAAAGCACGACGCAAACAATGCGGAGCGCATGTTCGTCTGCTTCTTGCGCAGGGGTTACGGTGACGTCAGAACGCCGTGTCTTGATTAGCTCTGACTAGAGGGATATTGCGTAGACCTCTAGGCAGCTAGCCATTGAGGTCTACCGACTATCCTTCAGTCAGAGCCTATCATAACACGACGTTCTAATCAAATTTGGGGGTTTTACGTGCCAAACCTACGACGGGCATCTGGCACGCCCCAGCGGAGGACTGAGGACTAATTTGGACCACCTGGGGATCTTTTGACGTGCAACCGAAAGCTCGGTTACACGGCGTCTTCTCCGCAATAAGCCTCCGTCAGATTGCGGGCACCTCGGCCGGGCACACGGCGTTCTGACGTGACCATAACCCCTGCGCATGAAGCAGACGAACTTGCGCTTCGCATACCACTCTCTTGTGTGGAGCATAAAGCCCCAGATACACGGTTCATACATCATATAAAATACACAGTGTCCGCTGCAGACATTACCAAATTATCTGCAGATACATCTTAAGCATGATTCGAAGAATGCTTGCTTTATACCTATGTGTGCCTCGAACATTTCTGCAGACTGTTTTTTAAATGGTCATTCAACAAGAGAGAGTGTGGTCTCATGGAACTACTCGAAAGTTTGATTCTTTACAGAATTAGGACAATCTTCGAAGGTGAAGGGGAACGACACGGGAAGTGGTACGTTCTCCTCCTCGAGTTCCCTCACATTATTATTGTTCTCTTTTTTTTTTCTTTACTTTAGTTTTGGTTATTTTCACGAAATGGTAGGACAAAGGGTGTCCAAAAACTTTGAAAGCACGTGATATATGTACTAGAATTCTAAATTGACTTTGAGTGTGCGCGTGCGTCTGATGTTTTTGAGTGTGCTTAATCTATTTCTTTTATAAACGTCTGTATTCTGTGTGCCCTTCTCGACGGACTAGCCAATCAGTAAACCAACTCCGGTTTAAATCTTCATGATTCAACCAAATAATAGTTTATCTATCTATATAGATATATATAATCACCGGTCTATTTATAAGCAAACCAAACACGATTGCCGACATAACAAAACGGCGTTTTTTGGCGACTAATTTAGGCTGTGTCATTTGTTCGGAAAACAGAATACAAGCATGTGCTTCTGTCGGGCAGTTGGCGACACTTAAGCGTAAGGAGTTAAGGTTGGTAACAATGGTGTGCTTAGCATTTCTATGCGCTAGGTTTGTTGAACATTCACGTGTGGGACCAGCAAGGTCATATCCCAGGCGGCACAGATGTCCTATGCACGTCAACAGGACAACCATGGAACACCGAGACATCCCCAAGACGTCTTTGGAAGCATGCATTTTGTCTGGGATATTATCTCCGTTGACAACTTTCCTTGGCATCGATCCTGCACGTCTCGAAAGAAACAGATCCCCACCTGCGCCTTGGAGCGGACACGGGATATCCGTAGTCTTCTCCTCTTCTGGAGACACCCCCCCTCCTCCATCGCCTCCACCGCCGCTCGTTGTGTCCTCGGACGGCATGAAGGCGTAGTAAAATTTGCGATGCGTCGCTATGGTCACTGAGAGGGCTACCAGGATGATGATCATGCAGGCGAAGAAGAACACGGCGCAGCCGATGATGAGGTATTTCTTCGAAATGTTTTCTGCGAGCAACGAGAACAGACGGGACTCAGAGGCAATTTCGATCATTTGCAAAAGATATCCAATTAGGTTGTGTTAAGCTGTTTTGCACATCATACAAAAACTTTTGACACTGTTTTACTAAGTTACGTAGAGGTACAGTGCACCCCAACCTGAGGCTGACACGACGAGATGGTCTGGTTTTGGCACTCCCTCATGCTATTTCTGCACCTACAGGTCGAACTACGTGGTGACGTTGTGACGTCCCGATCACAACCCAGCACGGGAAAGGTATTCCAATTTCCGATATGACCAATTTTGCTTTGAGTAGCCGGATATAGATCAATACTTGGGTAACCGAGTTCCGGTGCCACGTTTGAGTTGCACTGTATACAATCCCAAGTTATTGCGACGCCTGTACTTCGTATGCCGCGTACCACTGTACTCCTTGAATTGGTTGCCTCGTTCCTCCATACTTTCTCCTATCTCGACGTAATGCAACCAAACGTTCAAATTCTCCTTAGTGGATAAGTCTTTAGTTGTCAGTTTTTGTCCCCAACTTGTCCTCATCTATACCTCTTTGAAGACTTCATTTTTAAACCCATCGGCGATAGAATATATACGGTTTCGTCTTTAAAATGGTAGAGCCCAAGTCTCAGTTAGCGCAATCACGGGCTTGAGGTGTGCGTTGATGTTTCACTTAAATATTTCTTTACGGCTTGATGCAAAAAATAAGCCATCTGAGTTATGGAAACTGCTGATGTGTCCTTTGAAAACCACGATTATATATTTTCATTTTAATAATGCAATGGAGGTGTTTTTGTTAGCACAGTCTGACACCATGCATCATAAATATTTCGACAAGGTATATTTACTTCTCGCCACTCAAAATGAAGTGATATTCGGTGACTACCAAGTATTGTGGTCCTCGAAATCATTGCACTTATTAGCTTACCATTTTACGCATCGAACAAGAAATATCCTCATATCCCAGCGTGTAGCCATAAGTCAAGTCCCCCGTCCTTTCCTAATATTATCGTAGCAGGCAATTATCATTTATATTTGAATCCTTCAATCGCCATCAGCGTGCCAAACTAGACTCGGGCGAATCATCACACATTCGACAATAACATGTGGTCAGATATCGTGAAGTCGTGGCAGGTCAGTTACCGTAATCACGGCGCACGATGCAAACCACTGGCATCAAGAAGAGACATATTAAACACATTCCAGGTTGATTCCAAGCGTCAGTAATAAAAATATCAATTTGGGTATCTCGCTGACAGCAACACTGCAGTTTCCTCAGGATCGAGTCAACGTGTGACCCGGCGGGGATCGCGGAAGTAAAACCCCACCAGTATTACTTTATCATTATGTAACTCGGTCACCAAAGCGGGCCCGTCGATCGCCGGCATATTTCGCAACTCAGAAGAGTGCATGTGACAGAGCGTAGGTTAACTTTACTAAACGAGAGGCATCGGTGGCCGAGTGGCTTAGCACACACCGGCTCGGAGCACGTGTAGCGAAAGCTTGCACTGCAGAACCCAGCGATGCTGTGTTCAATCCCCATCCCTGCCAGTTTCGATTTGAATGCCCATCGTACCGGCGTGCGGTCGTGTATCACTACTGCATGAGGCAGGTTAAAGGCCCTATGCTAGGGGTTGTACTGCACTGGCGAAATTTCTCACCTACAGCTGAGACACCAGATGTGCAGGTTGATTAACTTAAGTCTGTACAAACATAAAAACAACACTATTATTGTATTTGTTTACTAAACGATGAGAGTGTCAAAAATAGATTATAGCTGTGATCTTCAGGATGAGTCTTCTGCCTCTTGTGATGTCTTGATTACGCGTGCACAGTCCCAGATCACATGAAGCATAGAGAATCACTGATGGAAGACAACTCCCACTAGACTCAAGAGAACTGGAAAAAACATGCTCATGCCAATCGAAAGATCAGTTAGGCTATTAAACAGCTGTAGAGAGGCATGTAGTATAGTATTTAAAGCTTGTGACTGAACTCTGAATAGACGAGACAGGAACATATAACTGAAACTAATATCACATTTATGTTTGGTACACCATACTCGTATTCTCATAGTTCGGTTTCATGAGAAGCACATACTACCATACAACTCCGTCAGAATATATAGATTGATTTGATTTATGTTTTGTATTTGTCCAATTTCAGATACATTTGATCATTAAAAGCTGATTAGCATTGACTATATTATGTTGTATCTTGCAGCGCGGAGAATCCTGTGTTACGTTCACGCGCACAGCATTTCATCCTTCCGTGTTCTTTTTTTTTTTTTACATTGTTTTTGCAAGTTAAATATATAAAACCGATAATCCCAGCAGCTAAATTAAACCGTAACAAAAAGCAATGAGTAAGAAACAAGTAAATCTGCACAATATGATATAACGAGCCGAATCATCTGAACCACCGTTAGGCCGCAATCAAGCCGCTCAGACATTCTACAAAGGACACGGCATTCGCTGAAGACATAATTATGGCAAGATTATCTACAACACACATCTCAAGCCTGTTCGGAGCACGTCTTCTTCATACATGTGTATGCTTCGAACATCTCTGCGGACTGTTGTTTTATAACCGATGTGACCGTCATACGAGGAATGCCTCAGACAGTGTCAGCAGAAGGTCTTTTGTTCAACGTAAGATTAATGTGACCACTGCTTCCTTGAGACACTACAGAAAGACGTCTTCTTCCTAGAGAAAATTCCACGTCCACCACCTCCACTGAAACCATCCGAGACTCACCCATGCTGAAGCGATCCGCGAAACCCGGAGGCCCCTTGTCCAACCGAAAGGTCTGGGAGCGTCCGAATCCTCCCGAACCCGAGCCCTGCGCCATGGTCGCCAGGAGCGGTCCCCGATCAGAGAGAGCGGGCGCAGCACGCGGACGCCTCCTGTCCTCGGCACGGTTACGCTTCGAAACTCACCGTGTTCCCAAAATGCGACGGGACTCGTCGCTCCTCCGCAGGCTTCGACCCGACGATCGTCGCAAAAACAATGCCCGGCTGTCACGCGGCGTGGAGAGGATTCAATGCCGTCCGGAACCGGGAACGACATCCGCCCGCGTTGCACCACTCTTCGATTCGCCACTCAGAGCGCGCGCACGGGCGCTAGAAGCTAGTGT